CATCTTTAAGAAGTGGCTTGCCTGTGTGGAGAATAAAACAGGTAATAAGCTGAAGTGCCTAAAATCCGATAATGAAGGCGAGTATTATAGCAAGGAGTTTGAGAACTTCTGCTCGTCCCATGGGATTCGGAGACTGAAGACCGTCCCAGGCACACCTCAGCACAACGGAGTGGCAGAGCACATAAATCGTACTATCTTGGAGCGCGTCAGAAGCATGAGGATCCATTCCGGATTGCCCAAGAGCTTTTGGGCTGAAGCTGTCAATACTGCTGCATACTTGATCAACCGTGGGTCATCCGCTGCTCTCAGTTATGGGATACCTGAAGAAGCTTGGACCGAAAAGAAGCTGAAGCTAGAACACTTACGAGTATTTTGTTATGACGCTTATGTCATGACCAATCCTGCAGACCGGTCAAAGCTTGATCCAAAGTCAAATAAGCTCTCTTTCATCGGCTATGGAGGAGATGAGTATGGGTACCGTTTCTGGGATCACGATGCGCGCAAGGTAGTGTCCAGTCGTGACGTCGTGTTCCATGAGAATGCGGTGTACAAGACCAAAGAGGTGAGTGAGAGTCAACTATCTCCCCCTTTTTTCCAGGTATTACTGACAGTGAGGACGTCGGCGAGATACCAATCAGCATAGAAGACGGAGATCAAGAGAACGTGTGGGATGCACAACAGCAGGATTCAGTAGAGTTGCCGATCGCAATTCGCAAAGCTCCAAGAAATCCAAGGGTGCCAGAGAGGTACCTTTCCACCATGAATTATCTTCTCTTGACTGACAGTGGTGAGCCAGAGAGCTATGAGAAGGTACAACAGACCGGCAAAGCTCGGGGCGAGTGGGAGTCTGTCATGGAGGAAGAAATGAAGTCCTTGATGAAGAATGAGACTTGGGAGCTCGTAAAGCTTTCAAGAGGGAGAAAGGCTCTTCACAATCGGTGGATTTATCGGGTCAAGGAGGAAATCGATGAACGGAGACGCTACAAGGCGATGCTTGTAGTGAAGGGCTATGAGCAGAAAGCAGGGATAGATTATTCTGACATTTTTGCTCCCGTCGTCAAGTTGACCACGATCCGAACTGTGCTGAGCATTGTGGCAGTTCGAGATCTTCATCTAGAGCAAATGGATGTGAAGACGACATTCTTTCATGGAGATTTGGAGTAGGAGATCTATATGCATCAACCAGTGGGCTTCGAGGAACGAGGCAGGGAGAGCCTCGTGTGTCGCCTGCGCAAGAGCTTGTATGGCCTGAAGCAAGCTCCGCGACGGTGGTACATGAAGTTCGAAAATTTTATGGAGGAGAACGGTTTTCTCAAATGTGACACAGACCATTGCTGCTTCATCAAGAGATACGGCGAATCCTATGTGATACTCTTGATTTATGTTGATGACATGTTGATTGCAGGGCCCGACTTGGCCCGCATTAAAGAACTCAAGGGGCGTCTCTCCGAGTGCTTCGAGATGAAGGATTTGGGTCCAGCAAACCAGATTCTGGGAATGAGGATCATCAGAGACAGATCAGCACGGAGGCTGAGGTTGTCTCAAAAGGCCTACATTGAGAAGATTCTTAAAAAGTTCAGCATGGAGAAAACTAAACCAGTGGGCTCGTCATTTGCGAGTCATTTCAAGCTATCAAAGACCCAAGCACCAGAGACTGCTGAAGAGCATGAGTTCATGGCCAACATACCATACGCATCTGCCATCAGGAGTTTGATGTATGCGATGGTGTGTACGAGGCCAAATATTACACAAGGAGTGGGAGTTGTGAGCCGCTTCATGAGCAATCCAGGGAAACAATACTAGGGTGCGGTCAAGTGGCTTCTACGCTACTTGAGAAGCTCGTCCGACCGTTGTCTTGAGTATGGCGGGACGGATTTGCAACTAGAGGGCTTTTGTGATGCAGACTATGTCGGGGACATAGACTCGAGAAGGAGTACGAGCGGCTACATCTTCATCTTGGGAGGTGGAGCGATAAGTTGGAGATCCAAGTTACAGGATATTGTGGCTTTGTCGACAACCGAAGCCGAGTACGTGTCTGCAGCAGAGGCAGCAAAGGAGTTACTATGGTTGAAGTCTTTTCTTCTCGAGCCTAGAGTAAGCTTTGAGAAATACTTCATCCACTGCGACAGTCAGAGTGCCATTCACTTGTCAGAGAACGACGCATTCCATGCTCGGACCAAATATGTTGATGTGAAGCACCATGCCATACGGAGATGGCAAAGCATGAACGAGTTCAAGCTTGTGAAGATTGATACGAGGTACAATCCAGCCGATATGCTGACCAAACCAGTTCCGCTCGAGAAGGTGAGGTTGTGTGCAGCCTCATATGGCCTCCGTTGAGAATGTTGAAGGCCGTGCAAGACGCCAAAGATACAAGACATCCGGATGATGCAACCAAGAGTGGTCTGAAGATACGATTGATATTCAATCAAATCTTCAAGTGGGAGATTACTGGGATGAGATTTTCTTAAGAGTTGATGGCCCTATTTATAGTGTTTGAGAAACACTATGCATAAATAAAATATTATCAATGGGACCCGTCACTAATAATAAAATATTTGTGGAACCCGCCATCTTTTCCATTTCTCAAATATTTTGGCACTGAAATCCTCTTTGTCAAAAGAGGTGGGCTGGGTTGGTGGGTCAAAAGAGGTGGCTGGCTAACAAAGCACCCTTAAAAGGAAGTGTCCAAGATCATGGCAAACAAAAAGAAGCCTCACGTGAGCTTCAGATTTTCATTCAATTCATTTCCTAAAAGTAATTATCAACATGAAGAGATAGGTTCATGCAGTACATCGTCTCAGAATGGAACAGATCTAACGTGCAGCAAGCATGAGTGTTACTGTAGGCGTCAAAAATTACCTATGGGTTCCCACACGTAGTTCAAGACAAAGAGAAGATGATGAATGATATCATCCAAGTCAAAGAACTTTTTTCTGACGACAATGAAAAGCATTAAGAGAATCGGTAAAAGCGCACAACTTAACAAATTGACGAAACACGTGTAAAGGAGAGAGCAAGCGAACCGAAGGAATGGCAAACAGCCAAAAAAAAGTCAAAAAAAAATGATAATTGGCCAAGTGACTCGCATATCGCCGAGTCACCAAATGGTGACTCGCACAGCTCCGAGTCACCACGACTATCTGGGCCTCCCAAACCTCCAAAAACACGGATTTTGATGTTATAAATAGCAGTAAATAGCCCCGTAATAACGGCGCTAATAGCGTTAGCGGTCCCTTCCCGCGACGCTATCGCCCGCTACGCTATCGCGCAATAGCGGTGACATATTACGGAATATGTCTGTTCGCAAAAGCGGCCAATAGTGTGTCATAACGGTACGGTGACATATTACGGAATATGTCTGTTCGCAAAAGCGGCCAATAGTGTGTCATAACGGTAAATAGTGATCGATTACATTCGAAATTTGCTTTTTGACTGCTATTTAAAAGCGGTTTGAGGTTTATTTTTTTAAAATTAAACTTAACCCTTACCATTACATTCCACCGTCTCCTGTGATTTTCAGCATACTCCCGTCACCTCTCATAACCTCTGGTACCTACCTTGATACTTCCTCTTACCTCCTTCACCGTGAGCTCTTCTTAGGACAGTCTTGTCACCGCTAAGCTTTTCTTCTCGAAGAAGATGACTTTTTAACTCCTCCAGTAATCTTCGGTATTACGTGATGGTTACATGTCTATTTCATGTTTAGGATATTTTTAAATCATCCAATATGTACTTTTAAATTTCTTAGATTTTTTTTTAAATTTTTTTTAGTATTTATATATACCTAAATTAGACCGCTATTTGACTTTGCGTTTTTTACCGCTATTTTGCCGCAATAGTCCGAAATAGCCTTAGCGATGCCTCGCCGCTACGCGACGCTATCCGCTATCGATAACCTTGATGTTTTATTAGAATTCTTACGTCCCAGGACCTTCCCAATTGTTCTGAAGCTATCCTTAAGGACACCTGGACGTTTATCAACTCTAGATGACGTCAAAACACTTGATCTTATCAGAAAACGTGACGACAAAAGCCTATAAATAGAAGCCTAGGGTCTTCAATTGGGAGGATCTGAAATCTGAGGGCGAGGTGCTGTCTAATTGAACAGTAAACCACGAATTTCAGAGGAGAATCAGCGAATCTTGGCGAACTTTTTCATAAAGAAAAAGCCTTCGAAAGAGTTGAGATTCTCTCCCCCTCCTTCCTCCGGATTAAATCTTGTTTTAATCTCGAGAAGAGCCACAATCCCGCTTGGTCGTGATTGTCGCTGCTGTAATTGTTTCCTTCGTGAAACAAGAGCATTAATCAAACTTGTCAATCGGATCTGATCCGCGGCGGTCCACGGACTAACGCGTCCCCGGCACAGGCAAAGATCCCACGCAAAGCAGCGGGTGATAAACGTCATCTGTGTTTTGTTTGATAAAGTTGTAATCCTATTTTTCATTGTAAGAAGATCTTATAAAAAGATCAACTTTTCTTTGTTTTCTTCGAACTTGTAATCGATAAACGGTGTAACAGGTTTGATGACACTGAAAGCAACTTTTGACGGAAACAGTTACCATGTTTGTTTTTGATCAATACCATGTTTGTTTTTGATCAATACTGATGGATATACTTGTGACAAACGAGTATGAATCAGATAATGACTCCGATCTCCATATTTGGTGAAAGATGAAGATGGATTTAAGGGATTGAGTACGATGTTGGGAATCATGATTTTGTATAATGTTAAGTGGCATATTTGTTCATTTCACCCTTGTCACAATGAAATGCATATCTTGCTTGTTTATGTATGTATTATATGTAGATTAATTTCAGTCATTGAGCTTACCTTGTTGTATTATTTCTATGAAAGGCTATATAGTTGCAAATGTCTGATATGTGAAGAAGTTCAAGGCAATAATAGTTCCATGAAATAATCAGAGATTTATTTGCAAGGATGATTAGGATGCTTCAGTTTTAAAGTTTTTAATTGTCCACGCTGTTTAATGTTTCAGTCTGCAGAGAATATGCTGCTGTTCCAATATCTTGTCAACATTCTCGAGACTGATTTTTTACCTCGTCACACTTTATACAAAGGTAAATAACATGATTTCATCGTGTTCCCCTTCCCTTTTCTTCAGTCAATGCCTATTCTCTTTTATGCTAATAGGCCTATTAATTTTTATTACAGAAACGTTAGACTGGGTCCTTCTCAGAGAATCATTGCTTTCTATGCTTCTGGTGATTCTTCTTTCTGTTTGCTGTCTGAACATGAATTTTTTTATCACATCTAGTCATATTTCTTGTTGTATTTTCAATCATTGATTATCATATTCGTTTCGTTAAAAGTTATATCAGTATTCCTTTGCACCTAGTAATTATTTTGATTAATAAAGAAGAAAATTTATTTGAAGTGTGAATATGGTTTGCAGGCTGAGTTTTCTATATGAATGCAGGTATCAAGAAGAATAAACTTCAAAAGTATAATAAGGGACTCCATGTTTGTTCTATCTAGGAGATGTCATCAGCAAACTGAAAGCAGTATATCGGATCTGAAAGATACATCAACTGTTTCTGCTTCTGCCAAAAATACTCAAGATTCTTATATTGCTCTGGCATTGGCAACCACCCAACTGGAAAGGCAAACCCATGTTGCAATGCAGAAATTTTTGACCATGGTAAGTCTAACAAATGGAATTTTCGACCCATTCTAGCAACTTAGTTCTCATACTTAACTTCCTTGATCCTTGCAAGATTATGGAGCTTGACGTGATAAAAAAAGAAGCTGATATACATGGTCTAACTACTCGAGCTGATGGATTAAGGTACCATGCTTGTTTTCATCAGTCTGTAAATGGAGATGACTGTTTTTATTCATGGGAATGTGTTTGTTATAGGACTCCAGTTTTGGATATCATTTTGGATGAACTAACTTATGCTAAGGATCATATATCCCCATTTCTTGAGGTAATTACTGCTTTAGAATATTTTTCATCCAGTAGATTCTATTTGTCTGCCAGCTTTTCTCAACTTAGCCATAGACAAACTCCTTATAAATAGTTAATCTATGAAGACTTCAATTCCTTGATGCTTTCATTGAGAATCGATTTTGCTGAATTTCTTGATCTATGAAGAATTCACAAAGACCATGTAATATTATCATGTTAATCTTTTTTTTCTTTAGCTATTATAGTTCTTTAGTACTAATACTACTGCAAACTTTACCATGTATGTTTTGTTCTATAACACATGTCTGGTAGTGTACATGTCAATGATTGTTCGTGTGTCTATGTACCCCATTCAATAGGTCTCATATATTAATAGTGCTGATTTTTTTAGCATTGTGGGTAATACTTTTTCAATGTAATTGTTGTACACACATATGTGTGTGGGTGTGCGGGTGGTAATACTTTTTCGATGTAATTGTTGGATAGGATGTGTGGGGGTGTGCGTGAATTGGTACCACTTCAAATTTTATAGTCCTTACGTCAAATTTGAAAGGAAACTGTTTTGCCTCCTCCTAATTTTCATGTGTCCATTTTTATATGCAACTCTTATCTCAACCTACCTAAAAATTGTAGGTTTTCTCAGAGCCAAGGTGGAAAATGGAGATAACTTTGCAGTACTTTTCAAAGTATTGCGCGAAGGTATGCTGATGATGACTTGTTTGAACATTTCTTTGCTTTTTTTAATAACAAAACTTCCCAGGCTCTCTACATATTTGTACAAGAAGAGCATGAATGTAAAACCCCAAAATAGTTAATTGTATAAACATCCTCTCTATTATCTTCTTCTGTCAATCTAATCTTTTCATATGCTATACTTTACACACTACGTAGTTAATATTCAGTGTTGTAATTAAAACTTCTTTTGCAGCCAAATTTCTTTGAAATAGTTACCTGGGTCTTTATTGTTCTTAAAAGAGATCATGAAATTGAGCGTTGTTTCTCCCTGACAATTTTACTTTGCGCCAACAAAATTCATTATATTTCCATTTAAAGTACGCCATTTCTACCCTTTTCACTGTGTAACTACTGGAGCTTCCAAGCAGCGTATCAGAATGCCATATAAGCAATCAGTTTTATAATGCAAAGTGATTTCGCGTCAATGTCGGAACCTTGTGAACTGCAATTAAATGGTGACTGTCTGCTGATAATTTTTTTTCCAGAAGTTGCTTCTATTTCATCTTATCCTCAGCATATTTGCATGTGCTGTTGGACCAAGTCTCCCAATTTGATTGACTTTATTCTTAACGCTTGTCTTGACACAATAGTGAGGCTGCTCCTTTCTGACCTGGACCATGAATTAGTTACAAACAACACCCCAAGAATACTATGCTGGGTTAAGGCTTGCATATCACATAACCCCTCACAGAACCTGCAACTGCAAGAACCTTAACCACTAGGTTATTTCTTAAGGCGTGCATCTGGGTATAAAAAATGCTCAACCAAAGTTATTCTATGCTGCTGGGGCAAGGCTGCCTGCACATGGTCCACCCATAACCCCTATTAGTGAGAGACTAAAGCATCAAGTTATTCTTTTAATTTTCTAAGGCCAAGCCTGGATCAAATGTCAACCCAAAAGTTGAATGTAGGTCATATTGACCACATTTTGTTGGAGAAGAAGGTATGACAGTGGTTGGTAAATGTTCAATCCACAACAAAGTTGTTTACTAAAGCGGATCCTAAGCTCAGCGCCTAAACATACACATCCTCAGAAGCAGTTCTCCATATTCACTCCAAAGGTTCAGAGTTAACACCTATATGTCATATTTTTTCCATGGGCACATTATCAGTTTTGGAAGAAGAGCAGCGAGACACTCGCCGATGTTCATTGTCCTCTTGAACATCTTATAGAACACCTGCAATTATTCTTGTCTCATGTTTCAGTGCTATGACTGAAGAATGATGGTTATACTTGACAGGGTTGAAGCGTTGAAGCATCTTTGATCTTGATCTATTATACACTTGCGAAATTTAACTAAAGATTTTTTGGTTGCTTTCTTCTATATCTGTTTGCTCATGTTCACTGATCCTCTAATTATAAACCTTACATAATTGGCACGAGTTCATGAAAAGTAAAATTGTCAAGGATAGAAGCATATATTCTCTTAGCGCTCTTGTATAGTTGTTAATTTCAGCTAGAGCTTCTTTTTTTTTTTGTTGCTTCCTTATAAATTTATTATGTCATGTTCACTAATCATTTAATTATAAACCTTAAATAATTTAGCACAACTTCATGAAGTAGAAAATTGTTAAGAAACCAGTATCTGTTTTTGTGTTTATTTTAGTCTTCTATTCGCACTCGGAGATCAAATGATACACCAAAAGATGCAACCTTTGAGGACATCTTGAATTACTTTTCATCTGCCGCAAGCACAAAATCTATTACCAGAAAGATTGCTCCAGCCAATGCTCTATCACTTTTAGCACATTCATTCCAGGTATTAAAACTGCTACATGAGCTTTTGTTTATGTCCATAATCAACAGCGTATTGTATCTGCAAGAAATATTTTTCTATATACTTGACACTGAATCTTTTCCTTGTTTAATTGCGAAAATACGAAGCTATCATAAATTCACTACTGTATACTGATCAATTTTTTAATTCTAGCCTTACTGCTTTCTCTTTCATTCTGATAGCTAACCTACTGTGAAGGTTCAGTTGCCATTCTATCTATTGGTATCACTATTGCTTTACATATTTCCAGTATCTAAGAATGTCAGTGGATTCTAAGTAAGTAATCCTATAGTTTTATCACTGCTTTGCTAGTGTATAGTGAGGTATAATGAACTTTACCAATGATGTTACACCCGAACGTAGGAGTTTACAACCTTGGTACTTGAAAAGGAAACCGGTAAATAGTAAATACATCAACTGGAACAGATAAAAGATTGAAAGCACGGTCTTCTGAAAACTATGTTTAACCCCTCTAGTGGTAATTTTTGGTAGTTGATGACAATTTTGGAATAATATGAGAACAAGTTTGAAGAAAAAACGAAAATATCTCTTCTTTTATTTTATTGATCAAGGGTAAGAACCCTTGTTTGTAGTATAAATTTAAGTCCGATTGTGCAAGAATATTACAATCTGTTAAAGCTACCATATTAGCAAATGTCTGCTAAGTGCTAAGAAAACCAGCCAAGAGACTTGATACTGGAAAATAATGTTGCTTCATCACTTTGTATGATTGAATCTTTGAGGATGTTCCTAATTGGCACATCATGAAACCCTTAATTGCACATGTTAAACACAAGCCACAAAAATTTCTGTATCCTCTTGAATGCATGAATCTGACATCATGCTTTGGGTGTAAGGGAACTTTTGAAATGAAAGCCATTCAGAACTAATAGGGAGGATTCAGGCATGTGTGTGTTTTGTATCTATGACACTTTATATACAAAAATGTACACATATATGTATCAAAAGTACTTCAGCTGAATGAGTCAGGCCACTGTTTGGTAAATTTGATTCAATTTCTAATTTAGAGAAAATTTAGTAGAGGTACCCGCATTCGACTGGAACTAGACACTTTCATGTTTTTACGAGTTGACATAATTGGAGCAGTATAAGTTACTGTTAGTGTCATGTGATGCCAAGTTACTGGTAAACCAAAAATCAGAAATGACTGTCTAGTACTATTGTAGGTGGAATCAAGCATTGCATTATTGAATACCAAGTAAATTATACATTTCATGTTAAGCCACACTATACAGTCATTCATGTCCCATTTGCCATAATTTTTCAGGCTTACCTCTCTCTACATCATGATCAAAAGTATATAGCTAACAATTCTGAGAAGGTTGGGACAAGCACCTTATCACAAATATGCAAGGGCTTAATATCTGCTTTTCAAAATATTAGAAAAACTGATGAGTAAGTCCCTTTTCCCCTTTGGTTGTGCGTATCTACAGATTTTTATATTTTGAATGCTGCTAGCACCTTGCATGTGTATAGGCTTGTTTGCATACAAACTATAAAGCATCGTACTTCTATACGCGGAACATTTTCCCCCACGATGTTACCGAGAACTTGTTTTGTATTTATTGCAGAAAACAATCATCAATGCTTTACAACTTGTATCTTGCAATTCAGTAACAGCTTATTAGAGATATTATCACTACTTTGCCAAGCAGTATTCAAATTGGAATTATCAGCTTTATTATAGTTTGTGGCATATTCCATTTTTCTAAAGTTATTCATCTAAAAATCATTTAGCATAAGAATTGTTTTATACCTTTGTTGGACAAAATAAAAATATTTTCTTAATAGTTGTAATTATATTGCCTTCGAATATATATATTTTTTTCTTAGCAGGAATCTGGAAGTTACACCTTTTGAGAAGGAAGCTTTCTTCACTGCAGCAACCATTGTATCACAGAAGTTGTAAACCTTGTATCCCAGAAGTTTGTTTTTGTTCTGTATTTTCTTTTTCTTCAGTTATATTTAAATTTTGACAGTTCTATAGACATATGGCAGCATTGAAGTTGTTGGATTAATTCAATAGTACCCAAATTTCTAGATTTGTAGGTAGCTTATCCCAAGTCCAGTTTCCTTTCTTTGTTTGCTCTCAGTTGCTGATATAGTATCTTTCAGGAAATAAGCTTTGTTGAAAGGAAAAAAAAGCGCCGGGTTGAGTTTTAGAAGCTTTTTGTCAGATTTGGATTCAATTTATTCCAAATATATGTGCGTGTTCTTCTCAGTTATTACTTTTGCTTGTTCTTAAGTTCAAGATATGTCCTCGTTAAAATTAGTCTTTTCAGCTAACAAAGTAGAGTTCATCTTCTTGTGTATCTTTCTGAAGGTTTCTGTATATTCATCTCTGGCTCATTCAATTTTTTTTGATATTATTGTTTATAAATAGGCCTTAGGCCAGTTGTAGTTGTCCATTTATAGCGAGAAAGTATATACGTACACATGACCAGCTATTTTTAGACATCGAAAAAAAAGGAAAAAAATATCAGTTCAATCTTTTCTAACAATTTAAAGAGGAACTAAAATAGAGTTTTAGGAGATCGTAAAGCTTTTTGCATGCATGTTGCACGCTGCCTATGTATCCAAACACAGGCAGAACTAAAATAGAGTTGATCGTCAAAAAATTAAAATTAACTAAAATAGAGTTAATTGTCTTAGTATTTTACCCACTTGAAAACAATGTCATGTGTACATAATATAAAGGACGCATAGCTGGTCATGTGTACGTAATATAAACGGAGGTATAAAAAAGGCTATCAAATAATTGTTGAGATCACCCGCCCAAATAATTGTTGAGATCACCCGCGGTGGGTGACACCGATAGTTGGGAGGTTTTAATATGACTTTCACAATGCAAGGTTTAATTCTAGATTGGAATAATAATAATAATAATAATAATATCGTTGAAGCCATTCTCTGATCTGGCCTTCATAATAATATAACATTATCTTAAAGTTTTGTCAAAACTCTTGAGGCTGGCCTTCATAATAATCTGATATTATCTTAAAGTTTCTGTCAAAAGTTAGAAGTTATGATTGATAGGTAATGTTAATGTTTTTAAAGAATACCACTAATAGTTAGATATTTGCACATACTAACATTTAACCTGAGATGTGAAGCATCTCCTTGTATGAGATGATTTGTATGATAATGTGGTGTGGCACATCAAAATTGGGGTTACGCCCCCCTAACTGGGGGCTGTCGAAAGTTGCAAATTTTAGGTTATTGTTAACTCAGGTGAATGGATCGGGTTGAAATCGCACTCTTCCCAACTAGGTCCTAGTCACCAAAGGCCATTTACTTTAAGACAGGGCTGTGTTGGGGTGGTTTTTGAATTCTCGACCTCTATTGAGGCTGGTTTACTGTTGGAGATATTAAGGTTTCGGAGGTTCAGGTTATGCGGTCAAATATATATATATATATATATATATATCATACTCCCTTTAAAAGCACGAGTTCGGAAAAGCTTTCCGTAGACAAATATACCCCTATATAATTTGAATTATCTTATATATATTCAAATTCTAATTACAACAGAACTTAGCATATGTATTTTAAAACCGAATAAATTTTAATGATAATTATAACAGATTATTATAATTATCATAACTACCAGAATAAATTTTGAGTCCGTCGTCCCAACAACGAGGTTCCTCCCAACTGACATATGTTTTCTATTTATTTATTATTATTATTATTGGAGAATTTTTTTTGGAGCGTGTAACTACTTTTAGTGAAAAGATAAGATTATCAGTACTTGTAGGTTTTATCATCAGACCTTTATCCTAAACCTGGCTAAGCAAAAGTTAAATGAGGGTTGTTTTTCAGCTTGACTCACTCCTGATCGATTAAGAAGATGAACGTGATAACTAAATTGGCATGATGAAAGCTATTGCACTTCAGATTTGCCGCATGTTTGTGAGCAAATAAGCTGTTTACAGAATCATAACTATCTACTTCTGCCATGTCACTTTTCTCACAGTCAAAAGATAACAAAGCAGAAATTTTGATCAAATCCTAATAAAACTCTAATTATAACTATTATCCTATCACATGTAATACCTCATGCCTATATATAAACTAAGAAATTACACAATTTTTATAGTAACTCTCCATCTCCTTCAACATGTATGGTTTTTTATTTTCATGATTATTCTTTAAATATATTGTGTATTTAATTTAATGGTGATATTTGTTTTACGCTGCAATTAATTTTTATGGAAATTGATATTTTTTTTAAAATTATTCAATTTTCATGCATAATTTAGAGGAATAAAGATTTGATTGTTGCAGGTTCTCACATATATCAAGGTAAATCTTAATATTTGATATTATTTTAATTTAGATTTATTTAATTATATTTATTTCTTTTTCTTCTTCTTTTCCTTTGCATGCATTTAATTAGTTGATTGTTGTTTTTTTCTTTGAATTGATGTGATTTGGTAGGTACAGAAAATTATTTAGTTGAGCTTGATACACGATGGTCTGCAACTAATTAAATTTTATTAGGAGATAATAATTATTTGATACGGATTCAATTGTTTTCATATTCATCACACAAGCACACGTGGAGTTAGTCTATAGTTAGGCCTCCACGGCCATGAATTTGTATACCTGAACTTTCTAAAATTTTATATATATATATTATATATATATATTATATATATATATTATATATATATAATATTAATATATATTATATATATATATTATAGTATATATCGCCAACTGGGATTTCGTATCAACTAAATTCGAAACTGGAGATTTTCTTTTTTTAATTTTTAGAAGTAAAGTATTCGTAGTGGCGTTTAGAGCAGCGGGGTGACAGGTAGCACGTTTCTTGAACATCGGAAAAACATTCTAATTCTTGGTGAAGTTAGATGAAAAGACAAAAGATGAACGAGGTGAAGGCAATATAATAGCACAAGAAATTCAACTGCAGCCTAATATTACAATCGACGTAGATGATGAAGATGCTACTCTAGAGTTGCCCAGAAAAAAGATAAAGGTGGAGAAAAATTGATCTTGGTTCAATTAGAAATTTTCAAGAACAATATTTTTAAATCATTTTATATAACAACTTAATTTTTTATTACAATTAGGAATTTTTATAAAGCATTTTTATGCAAAGTTATTAGTAGTTTTGTATGCTTATGTGATTGCTTACATCACATAAAATTACTCTTTGATATTTAACCATTTTACTATATTTTATTATTCTCTATGAATATGATCCTGCATTTCGTGAGAGGAATTTGATAAAAATTTGCTTTTATTGATCCTGTGAATGGATATATTGTCAGCTAGACGTAAAAATCTCTTCCTGATAACTAGCACAGCATATGATCTACCATCTATGATATAAAGGTGGTCTCTTTAACCAATTGGCAAAGAATTACTGTTGTGATGATTTTTCTTGGGGTTGTCACAAACTTCAATATTCAATGTTTTTAAAAAAAATCATTGCCTTACTAATTGTTACTTGTTGCGATTATTGCCATGTTGAATAAGGGACCAAATTTGATCAAGATTTACTTTCATACATTAATTAAGTTCATGTTAGGTGTTAGTAGTGGTGATCAATTTAAAATTCGTAGAAGAAAAAGAATTTACAAGTTTGTAGTAAATCAAACAATTAGCTTAGCTTTTTGAGTCAAAAAAAATTGAATAAACTTAAATTTTTGAAATATTTTCTTCATTACTATAACTACAATTCATAATAACAATTACAATATCCCAGTTACATATACTCATCCAAGTTTAGCTTAAAATCCATTACATTTATTTTTATTAATATTAATATTTAAATAAAATACTAATAAATCTTATAATTCAATTATACATATTTGAACTCAAGATAAATCTCACTTATTTAAAGTAAATGAAGTAAATATATATTTTTTAATATTTAACCACGTGCATTGCACGTGCATAAAACTAGTATATATATATATATAAGTGGAATTACATAGGAGGGGTTGGTAGGTAAAGAATTTTAGAACAGAATTATCCACATGCTTCTAAGTCGACTTTTCTTAGTTTTTGTTTCTTTTTTATTCTAGAATGTTATACAAACACAGAAAAATTAAAGGAGGTATTGGTGGTTAAATCATCTAAATTTGATTAAATTTTTAAATAAAGTCATCCACATTCTTTTTTTTAATCTCCTTTCTATTTTCAAGTTATCCAAATAACTGGTAAGGTTATCTAATTCTAAAATTTAAATTCAAATAATCTATTTTTCATCTCACGCGTAATGTTATGTGAAAATGTAGAAGGCAACATCACGTTCATTTGTATATTTTTCGCCATTTGTATATAATTAATAAATGCGTTAGAAATCTAAAAATGACAAACTGTACAGAGAAATACATTTTATTATTATTATTATTATCAATTTTTAGAGATCCTACATGATTTTCTTGCAATTAATTACATTGGACAATTACCGGGCCCACCAAAGTACAACCTCCTAGTAGCAGGAATCGTCGGTCACGTCGAAGAAGAAATTCCCGTCGGCAGGATCGTAGGGCGCGTCGTTCAGTTCTATATTCACAACCTCCTAGTAAGCAGGGATTTTGGCCAATACCCCCACCGGATCTTCACCGTTAGGCCCGTGATACAACCACCAGTCTCCCGTTTGCTCGTCCTTTTAATAAAAATGCCTCACGGACCCAGAAATGGGACAGATAGAGGGGGACGGGTGAGGCGTCCCCCTCTGATTTGCATAATGAGCTGGTCATGACCAGCTCATTATGCAATAGGAGGGGGACATCTCACATGTCCCCTCCAATGGTCCACGGGCCCGGGCCCGACCGGGCCGGGCTCCGGGCCTGCCCGGATTTTTTTGTTTTTTTATTTTTTTAAAAATTTTAAAAAACAATAAAACATAAAAATTATATTTATATAATAGTATATATATATTTATACTCTTATATAAATATAATTATATTATATGTACATATAAGTTTATGTTTATATATATGTATAGATATATAAATATATATTTATACTCTTATATGTATTTATACTATTATATAAATATACTTATATATGTACATATAAGTTTATACAAATTTATACTCTTATATGTATTTATACTATTATATAAATATACTTATATATGTACATATAAGTTTATACAAATTTATACTCTTATATGTATTTATACTATTATATAAATATACTTATATATGTACATATAAGTTTATACAAATTTATACTCTTATATGTATTTATACTATTATACTCTTATATATATATTTATACTCTTATATGTATTTATACTATTATATAAATATACTCTTATATGTCTTTATACTATTATACTCTTATATGTATATTTATACTCTTATATGTATAAATATATTTATACTCTTATATATATAAATATACTCTTATATGTATATATTTATACTATTATACTCTTATATGTATATTTATACTCTTATATGTATTTATACTATTATACTCTTATATATATATTTATACTCTTATATGTATTTATACTATTATATAAATATACTTATATATGTACATATTTATACTCTTATATATATAGGGAGAGGTTCAAATACAAACCTCACTATCCTAAAAACTAAAAACCAATCCTCTCCATTGGATCTAGATTCATCCAATGGCTGAGATTAAAGCTGCATAAGGGTAATTAGGTAAAATAAACAGCCCACTAAAGAGAGGTAATTAATGCTTCTTATTGAGTTCTCCATTTTCCCATGCAACTCTCCTCTCACGTTCTCCTCTCTCTCTCTCCTCCATTTCCCAAAAGCTTGAACCAGCCCCCTCTCTCTTGGTAGGTGTTATTTTCTTGGTAGGTGTTATATTTTCTTGGTAGGTTATATTCTAAGTTTGATTTGATTCTTGGTAGATGTTATTTTCTTTTGATCTGATCATGGTTTTGTTCTCGTCATGTATTGGGGATGATAGAAAGAGGGGATCCATGGCCAAGAGTTCCTTCAAGCTCGAGCACCCCCTCGGTTCGTCACGTTTTTCTTTAATTTCAATTTGATTTTGGTTTCTTTTTAGGGTAATTGTTGAAGTTGCGATCTTGGTTCTAGGATTTGTTTTAGCTTGGGGTTTCTCTTATACTCGATCTTGGTTGTTTGTTTTGTTGGATTATCTTTCAAAATTTGCAATCTTTTTTAGGGTTTCTATTAAAATATTTTAGAAATTGGAATCCTGTTAGTTTTTTTGTTAAATTTGGTTAAAGTTCAAAATTTTAGTTATGGGGTTTGTTTTAGTTGCTGTCCTAAATAATTGAATTCACTGCAGTGAATCGAGATTCACTGCAGTGAATCGCCGATTTTTGCTGTCCTAAATAATTGAATTCACTGCAGTGAATCCAGATTCAGTTATGTGAGGTGTTTGTTTTTACTATAAAAATTGTAACTTTTTGCTTAAAATCATCAAACACGTTCTATAAATGCATGAGTGAATCTCGATTCACTTCAGTGAATCTCGATTCACTGCAGTGAATCCAGATTCAATTATGTGAGGTGTTTGTTTTTTACCATAAAAATCATAACTTTTTGCTGTAAAAGGTGAAAATTTTTCATGTTATAAAATTTTATAGCTTGTTTTTTACCATAAGTTTCTTATTCTGCTTGGATGGTTAGAATGATTCACAAATCCAGTGGAGCAGCAAATCGATTGGAGTGAATCCAGATTCAATTCGTTGGAGTGAATCTGGATTGAAGATCACTTCAGTGAATCCAGATTCATTGCGTTGTTGTGTTCTTCATGTGAGATTTACAGAGATCGGGAAGTGAGTTAGAGAGAGAGAGTATTAAAGAATGTAGCACTATTAATGTAAGAGAGAGTATTAAAGGACGTGTATTAAATTTGTATCATTGTTCCAATGTAATCAGTCACCATTAATGCAATGAATTGTTCCAATTTTACCCTTTTCACATTAATGCAGTGTATCATCATCGAAAAAAAAAAGATTTACAAATAGATAATATGCTCTTAAAAGGTAATCCAAAGTTCCCGAACATGTGCCTAGTCATCATACATTAAAACATTGACTATGTTAGAAATAAAAAACTATTATTAGTAGATCTGGATATGATTAGGGCATTTAGATTAGCAAAATTCAAGATTTAGCGGATAATTATAATTTTTCTATTCCGAATAAACAAATAGAGTGCTCTACACTGTGATTGCAAAATCTACTGAGAGATCTCTACGTCAGCTCTCCTCGCAAAATAGAAATGCGGAGCCTTCTATTTTCTAAGATCGCACGTCTGTCAAAGCCCTCATCATCAACCCTCAAATCTCTCCTCCCTCCTCTCTCTCTCAGTCAACAACGCGACTCCATCCCCAGCGATTTCTCGAGATGGGCATCGCTGGGCCAGCACAAGCCCCTGGCCTCCATCATCGACATGGACCGAGCCAAGCTCCGGTCCCCTGAGGACCTCGTCACCGTCTGGGATGACGTAAGCCCTAAATACCCACCTCTCCGTTTCGTTAGCTGTGACCCTGTTTGTGCCGGATCCGGTTTGAGCACCAGTTGTTTGATGAAATGCCTCATAGATGCGTTTGAAGGAAAATTTGTGTTTGCGTCATAAATGCATAAAAGGTTCTAATGCATACTTGCATATATGTATAGTCAAGTCGTCAAGGAAATTCGACTTGCGCAATGTGCGCTGTGGTTCTAATGAAATTCCTCATAGGTGAATTTTGTTGTGAATTTTGTTGCTTGACTTACATTTGCATGCACAAACACAGTGTTTACTGAACACAGACCTGTTTCTACCTATGCCGGCTACTCGAATTCAAGGAAATTTAAGGAAAAAACTAAGTTCCTTCGAACTTCAATTGGATACTGACCCGAGATCAAGTTGTTATAAGTCAGTGCCCACTTCTAGCCTAGGGATTTCTCTAAAGCATAATAAAGCTCAAGAAAGGCAACTGTACAGTGCTCACTATTTTATAATAATATATAAAATATGAAATGTATTGCGGGTGATACCATCAAATATATATTGAGGAATTTTGGGTACATTGGTACTTCTTAATATGAAATGTATTGCGGGTGATACCATCAAATATATATTGAGGAATTTTGGGTACATTGGTACTTCTTATGGTTTTCGCGCGTATGTGATACCATCAAATATATATTGAGGAATTTTGGGTACATTGGTACTTCTTATGGTTTTCGCGCGTATAGTAAAATCTTGATCCTAAATTTATATAGGGATACTTTAACTATGTAATCTGATCAAAGTACTTAACAATTTCTACCTATGATATTTTGTGAAAAATTAAATTATAACTGTTCAAATAACTTAGAGGTGTCTTGAGGAATAATCATTGACAATCTTGCATCAGGTACACGATAGACAAAATGTTAAATGTCCTATTCTGGAGCTTCATCCATTATATTTCTATATCTGCTTAAATAAATTTGGTTTGAAGTTCTCCTATAAGCTTCTCATAAGAGCGAAACCAGGTCCTTTGCTTTCATATCTCTGTTACAATTTCTTCAACCATGAGGACTTTCCAACAGTTTATACCTCAACTGACTGACTGATTTTCCTTCTCTTTTTGAATGAAACTCCAGTACCATTTGGGAAGAGGTCATATAGGTACATCAATGAAAGCAAAGTTATACAATGAAACTCCAGTACCATTTGGGAAGAGGTCATATAGGTACATCAATGAAAGCAAAGTTATACCACCTGTTGGAGCAAAGATCAAGTTCATGGTACTCTTTTACTTTCAATTTGGGTGCTTGTTGTTATGCTTTCATATAACTTAGTTCCCCCTTTTGTTTATGTTTTTGTAGCCGGCATTTTGTTATTCCTTTATGGAGGGGAAGCGGCTACGTCAACATATTCCTTCAAGGTTTATCTCTATTACCTTTAGAGGTGTTATATGAACATTCTGCCGATTTATGGATTTATGATCCCAAGTTTTTCTTATTTTCTGTAAGGTATTTGTCCCTATTCTTTAGTCACGACTCTTCGTAAATATGATAGATATATCATCAATGTCACCAGTCTTGTGTCTAATTTTTCTTTCACCAATTAATGTGTTTTGAGCGGAAATCATGCTAATTACAAATTCACTTCCTGCTAACTACAGACTGACTTTTGAGAACCTCATTATAGAAAGGTGAAAATATATTCTTAGATTTTTAGATCATTATACATGTGGGAAGCCTTCTTGTGTAACAGTTGGATATGATTTTTATTACATAATTGATCATCTCAGGAGCCATGTGTTCAACTCATAGTAGTATGTAGGGTAAAAGAATATTTTTAAATTTCACAATAACAGTATTTGAAGTATCAGCCATACCATGGCATGTGAAAGACAGTTCAATAACTAATTGCTTGCTATTATACGTATAGTTTCATGTTTCAATACTTCATTTTTAACCTTTTACCTCAAACCCTTCCCCCTTCCTTCGTCTTAAAACCTTGAGTAATCTATAGATGGTTTCCAGGCTTTGTTATGGTCAGGAATCAATTGTGTGTGTAAACAAATACGAATAATTCAAATAGAGAAAATATGATCTAAATCTGATTTCATATTCATCTTTTGACAAATATGGATATCATTATATGTCCCATTAAATATGGATTAGAATATAGTAGTAATAAATTATGAGATATCAAGTATATTTAATATATTAAAAAGGTACATATTTAGGCTATGTCCAATACTAGATGGTGTAATGTTTATTGTTAGACCTTTATATATTTGTATCATTCTAATATCGGGAAAGACTTTAATGTCAATACTTCTTGTTTTTTTTGGTAATTTCCCAACCGTTGACTAATATCCAACTATATCCCTATGTGAATTTGTAGAAATTATGGATATTAACTTTAGTATTCAAACAAAATTTCTAGCTTCATTTGTATATGCTAAAGGAATATAATATCAAGAGAGACTACTATTCTGCTCTGGATCACCCTAGAAGCAACACTTGAAACCGACTCATAGATGTAGATGACTATTACTCGCTGTTCTCTTGGTTAACATAGTTTTTTAAGGAAAACAATTCCTTAATAAGTTAGCAATCATTTGTAAAGCACAAAATAAAAGGGGCCTATGCAGTGCACATGCACAAGTTCTACATGGAAGAAAGGACTTATGTATCATAGTAAACCTGATGAACCAATTGAGCATCTAGATGTAAGTCCATACATTCAGTTAGTTCATATCACAGTGAACCGGCGTGGGGCATTCTCAGCCAAGCAGTGCACCTTTTTTAGGGGGTAGTTTGGACTTTTCACTCTCCCTTATTTGGCTGAGGTTATCCCGCGCCATGCAAGGTTCTGATAGAATTCCTACACCCTTCTGGATACTTCACTTTCATCCATTAGCACAAAATGTGATATTCTGTTGCCTCCTCATATTTGCAAGTATCCTGTCTTTCAGTTCAATCAAGTAGAATGTTGGTGTATTTCATGGCTCACCCATGTCAATTTAGCTACTGTCATTTTAGCAATTCAATGCAGAAAGGGGCAACTTTTCCTAAATATTATATCTTGAATTGATTGTGATTGGTATTTCTCTATATTTCCGGCATTTGGACATAGAATGTCGTTGATTGGTTTATTTTCAAGTGACTGAAACATTTCAAATCACTGCTTACATCTTACCAAAGTTAGTAATTTGTTCTACAAATTAAAAACAAAAATAAATGAAAATGTGACGTGTAATGTAATATATACAGAAGATGACTTTTTCTTGCTCCCTTTAAGTTGCAACTAATCGGAAACACTTTCAATTCGGAAGGAAAAACCTGTTGATTTCCTTGGTTATCATGATTTTTTTATTTTTTATCTTTTATTTTTTATTTTTTAATGATCATATGACACAAAGTTTCTATATCTTGGTCTATTGCCTTCTCATACCTGGAATTTCCATTTACTAAATGGAATTAGATGGAATGTTGCGAAGAAGCCACTGTTTGACTTCCATTAACAAAAATCCATGCTCAAAGTTATACTCCTTGTAGAACATCAAGCTTATGAGTTTTCTATCTTCATTTTCCCAGTACAAACTCCTTACATGATCTTCACCGGCCTTGAGGATTACAAAGCAAGAGGAACTCAAGCAAGCCCTTACTTCACTGTCACCCACTACACTGAGTTTGGAGAGACCAAGGGCTTGGTGCTCGTTCGCGGAGACGTTGTGCTCACCAGCAAGCTCACTGATGATGAAGCACGTTGGCTTGTTCAAACTGCTCACTCTTTTTATCTGAACGACACACGATACAAGCTTGTGGAAAGGTTTAACAAAGAGGCTCATGAGTTTGAGTTCAAAGATGTCCTCCAAGCACTCGAAATGCCCATCTTGTAAGTCCTACAGTCTTCTGTTGCAAAGTGAGGAATCGGTTTGACATAGTATGTAGTTGATTCCGTAGGCTGTTTGGTTTACTGCAGAAAGAAAGTATAGTAAATTTTGCAGTGACAAATGGTGCATGTAGTATTTTTGCATAAAATTTGGTTGATATCCATTGTTTGGATATCTGCAACTTTATGGTAGAAAATGTATTTCTATTGAAAATTCTGATTTGGTTGATAAAGAATTGATTCAAAAGTTCTAAGATTTGGGAGTGGAAATGTTTTTTTAATGACTTGCATTGCTTTTTTATGTTCTAGTTTCTGCGTTGAAAATTGACGACATTTTTTGCAACTAAATTGGGTGTAGAGTATTTGCTGCAAATTTTCCTACAAATTGCAAAGTTCACTTGCTTTTTCTAATAGCAATATTGCTAAACAAACATTGGAAATCCGGTTGCATTATTTGCTTCTTTGTCTCTATCTCCACTCAACCAAACAGCGCCTAATATAGTCATTATCTCAAAAACCTGCCATGTAATTTGGAAATTTTTTTAATATCAAACTAACATATAAACTTTTCTTTGAGAAAATTAATATGAACTTCTATGAAGGACCATATCTTACTACATTGCAGCTAGGAAAAGTCTTCAAACATGTTTGACAACTTTGGATTATAATCTACAATAGATTATGATTCAAGTGAACTATATATACTGGAGTGTTTGATAATTTTAGTGGGTTATAATCTATTTTCGAAATAGAGTGTTTGGCAAATGGTAGATGATAATCTATCTTTGATGTCAAAATTAACAAAAATGTTTAGCAAAAAGTTTTCATGAGCATGGTAGTTTTGTTATGTTTAACCCTTTCCCCCCCTGATTTTGTTCAATTTTTGTGCCATGTTGTTTTTCACGTCATCGACTTTTGCTCGATAGGCTTAACCGCACTTGCAAGTAAATCCTATATTTCCTCGCGTAAGTCACTTGTTCACGAAAATATGCGAAAGTATAGTGTTGGGTTTCTAATTTTAATGAGTTTGGATTATGTAAACCTGACCCTCCCCACTGAAACTCAGGACCTATTTAGCTGATATGAAGTATTAGAAATAAAAAATATTTAAATTTATTATTTTTAAAATTATGAAGTAGAAAATAGTGAAAATATTACTTTATTATTTATTTTTAAAAATTTTAGAAGTAGAGGAAATAAGGTTTCTTTCACTTCATTAACATTTTTATTTGGTAGCAATTATAAATATTGTTAGAAAAGAGAGAAAGATGATATTTTATGATTTTATTTAGAATAAGGGGGTGTTTGGTTGCACAATTTTATAGAAAAGTTTTCTCAAAATGTCTAACAATGATAATTCTGTAATTAAAAATTTTCTGTAGATTTCTGCAAACTGTGTTTGGTTCAAAAAAAATTACAGAAATGTTTTCTGTAAAGTACAAAAAAGTACCAAATTTTACAAAAAATAATTTCCTCTCAAAATGGGTGAAAATCACTCAGAAATTTGACACCATATAGATATTTTTCTATAAAGTTGATACTTTTCTATAAATTTAGGAGGTGTTTGGTTAAATTTCTACAAATTATAGAAAATCTTGTTATTTTCTATAGAGTTATGGGTTATTTTCTTGTTTTGAATCAAACAAACAAAGTTTAAAAAAAAAATTGGTACTTTTTGACTTCTCAAAACTTTTCCTATAATTTTTTTAAGAAATACACAGAAATCATATTTTGGATGAAAAATATTTCCTATAATTTGTAGAAATTGAACCAAACACCCCCTAATAGAATGTCTATAAAATAATAAAAAAAGGTTTTATTTCTAAATTTACTCAATTTCGCTTACTTCTATGATACTTCAGAAGATTTAAGAAGTAAAAGTGACGCGTCGATCGCCCGATTGCAAGAACTTTCTCCCTCATGGCCGGCGACTCCTCGGACGCCGCCGAGGTCGAGAAGCTCTACGAGTTCGGCGAGCGCCTCAACGAATCAAAGGACAAGTCACAAGTAAACAAATGACTCTCCTTTTTTCTTTCACAAGAAAACTTCTTTTGGTTTTCTAGGGTTTGTTGTGATTGAGGGATTTTGGGCGCAGAATGTTAGCGATTACGAGGGGATAATAATGGCGGTAAAGGGCGGGAGCGTGAAGGCGAAGCAGCTGGCGGCGCAGCTGATCCCGAGGTTCTTCAAGTTCTTCCCTACCCTCGCCAGCAAAGCCATGACTGCTCAGTTTGATCTCGTCGAAGAGGAAGAGCTCGGGGTTAGTCTCTTTGGCTCTGTTCTCTCTGTATTCCTCCTTAGGGTTTCAACTTCTATCTGTTGATATCAATACCTTGTTGAGAGTTATGTTATATTTAGTCCTTGAGGATTTTAGGTCATCCAGTTGTATTATCGGGTGTAATTAAACTTGGTGAGTGAATGAATGTTGAAAACTTTTTTCCGTATTTAATTATTAGATTTTTGAATCTTTGATGGTAATGACTGATAATATTCCCATAAAATGTGCCTTATATGGAAATTTTAACTTACTGAAAGCCAGAGGTCTAGTTTTTTTCTTCCACACAAGGAAAGCAGTAGAAATGATGTCCTTTTCGATCTTCTAAATCTGAGGTGCAGTTCTTGTGATTTCCATCTTTGGTGTAGACTCCCAACAAGAAAACTACTCTGAAAAGCTTGTTTGTATCTGCTATTCAAGAAGTATGTGCTGAATCCTCGATGGAAGAGGGCATGCAAATTTGTAAAGGTGAAAGGCATCTGGAAGCTGATAAAATTTTAATGAGATCGAGATTTCAAATGCCACAAGCTTTTAATTGAAGTGAAGAAGGTAAGAAGAGGATGGAAGTTATTAAAAAAAACAAAAACAAAAACAAAGAAATAAAATAAAGAGCTCGAGTCAAGATTCTGTGGAATGGACAAGAAAGTAAAAGATAGATAATGGACATTTGAAGGAGACACATTGAAGAATATAAAAGATAATAGGGGAAAACGAAAGAGCTGAAGGATATAAAATAGGCAAAGGAAACAATGTACCAAGAAGAATGCTTATGCAACATGAGATGAATGGAGTATGGAAGTATGACACAGAATGAAATATGAAAAGAAAATGCAAAAACAAAGATAATAAATCCACAACGTTACAATATTAAAAGAAGAATGCAATGCAGGAAGACAAATTAGGGAGATGATAAACACAGACCAATAAGGCAATATTAAAGAAAGATGCAGTAGGATATGACAATATGGGGGAAGACATTAAATAAATATGATGTAATTAAATAACAAATGTGCTAATAAGCCTATGTTATTTGAATACTTCTATCATGAAGCCGTACTCGTACCCGACACTTAGCCGACACTCATCCGTACCCAAACTTCATGGACACTCCTTGGACATATGCATACATTTTTCAGACATGTGCTCAATTATATGATATATGTTTTAATTAAAACATTTACCTAACATTTTTTGGACTTATATCTTACACTTGACAATGCTCACATTCCTTTTTTTGAAACTTGTTAGACATAGGTTGGATTCGTTTCAGCTTATGATACCCTAGCACATTCGTGGACCTCCCATACCTGGACACGGATGGGAAGCTCAGATCTATAGCTTTTTGATGCCCTGATTGTTGTTGTGAAAGAATTTTCTATGCTTCTTAGTTTTACTCTTTCACAGCCCCTGACCGTCTTTGTCTTGGCCCCATCAAAGCTAAACCAAAGAATTGAAACCCTAATCTGAGGAATTTTGGGTTTTGGTTCTGAAAGAGGGGCGGGTTTTGGGTGAAAGAGGAGACAAGGAGGAGTTTTCTAAGGAAAGGTTGAGATTGATTCCAAGGAGAGGGTTTGGAGGTGTATGCACCATTGATTTTGGAAAGATGAGATGGCTAAAGATGCTTTTGCCTTTTACCTTTTGTCTTTTTTGCTTATGGTCATAGATTGATGAGCTGGCATGTTTTTTTTTTAACTTCTTGTGGGCTTAGGCCTGGGCTTAACTCAAGAAACAAAAAAGTTATCCAACAAACTCAAGAAATCCAAAATGGTGGGCTGCTAAATGTTGTAGGAGTTCAAAATAGAAGTAAAAATGCTACACGTATTTTACTTCAATATTGATTTAATGTAATATATAACCTAACTAATACATAGTTGTCTCCATTTCCTCATATGGTGATAGATCCTTTATGTATGTATGTATGTATATATATGTGTGTGTACATGTATGTATATGTATATATATGTATATATATATATAGATGTATATGTATATAAATATGTATGTATGTATATATATGTATGAATGTATGTATGTATATATATGTATATATGTATCATCCATTGTAGAAAATAATAGATATACGCCTTTTTTGGTGATAACCTAACCTGGAATCGAACCCGAAAATGTGGGAGCCATATTGGAACCTTCTAACCATTTGGGTCAGCTGCGGCGGTTGAGATATACACTGTTTTAACTGTAAGTTAATGTGTAATTTGACCATATTATTAGCAAGATGATGACTCGATTATCCCTTAAGGAAAAGCTATATACAAATGTGCTTTGTTGTTGATTTATAGCATTTTAAGCATGGAAGTTATAAATCGGACCTGTAAATCCAATAGTATACATTTATTGGTTTCTGATGCCAAATTGACATTATATTTGAAAAAGCTCTTTAAAGCATTTAAAATGACCTCAAAATAAAATCGAATTGTTGGTCCTATGGGAGCCAGAACTTGCATTTCTGAAACAACTTTTGTATCTGGATAACAAATTGACTCCAATGGATAATTCATTGACTATTAGCAGAGAGGAAGTATTGCTAAATCTTGTTTACATATTTAGGTTATGTTTTAGAATTGACCTTGGGAAGCTGTTTTATTTTCCACTAAACATTTATGCAAAGAAAGCTCTTTGTTTGAAAGGCACCCAATTAGTATTTGCAAAAAATCAATATATCATCATCTTTGATAGGCTAATTTGTAACTGCAATGTAAAAATATAAATAAAATAGTCAAGTTTTTGTTCACCATAACAAAGTCGATGAATTGTTGATCTAGAGTGTCTTTTTTTAAAGATGCTTTTGAGGTACACATGTATGTATGTATGTATGTATGTATGTACGTATGTATGTACGTATGTATATGTATGTATGTATATATATATATATAATGCATGTACGTACGTATTTACGTAGCCGTGTCCCCATACCCTACTTTTTACAAATTTGCTATGTTCCGTACCTGTATCCATGCACGTACCCATGCAACATAGGTTTCAGCCCATACCCAAGGTTAAAATTGTGATTTTAAATGGTTGTTTCGAAGTCTAGTTCAAATACAAGTAGCTTACATTTTATAATAAGCAACATAATAAAAGAAACTTAACAACATGATAGGAATTTTAATTATAGTAACATGTGAAGTGTAAAACAATAATGATCTCATGTAAATTATTAATCTCAATATATATGTAGCCGTGTCTCGTACCTTATATGTTACAATTTTGTCGTGTCCTATAATAGTACCCGCACCCGTACCCGTACCCGTACCTGTTTTAATGCAACTTAGCAAGAAGCCAATAGATTATATCTTGACGCTACATGTTTGTAGTGACTTCTTAGTTTTTTTACTGTCGCTATTAATGGTTGGATGCTCAGATAGGCCTGATCAGAGAACGAGGAATGATGATAAGCTATTAGACTAAAGTGAAGAATGAAGAAATTAATATAGAGAGCTATATTACACTGTTGCTCTTCTTATGAAGCCATACTCATACCCGACACGTATCTGTACCTTCATTTCATGTACAATCCACGAATATATGTATACATTTATCCTGACATGTATGTAGTCTTATGATATATATTTTAATTTAGGCACTCACAATACACTTCTTGGACGTATATCCTACACTTCACATCTACTTCTTGAAACTTGTTAGATATAGGTCAGTTGCATTTTAGCTCATACTCAGTTTTGGCACTATGATTTCAAGGGGTCGTTTGGGTATCTAGTTAAAAACGAGTCGTCTCCAATTTATAATAAACGTAATAAAAGAAAAATTAAAAAATCTTAAAAATGTATTATGAATTTTAATTCTAATAACACATGGATTAAATAACAATATTATTCTCATGTAAATTATTAATCTCAATATATATGGATGTATATATCTAGCTCTATCCTAATGCCTACATTCTACAGATTCGGCGATGTCGTGTACCTGTGTAATGGTACCTGTACCCATCTCTATTTAAATTAGATAGGGAGATATATAAGTCAAAAAATTACTAATCTTTTTTTGTTGCCATGAAATGTATTTACAGTGTCCTTAGAGTACCTTTCCATCAAGACACATGCCTAATTGAAACATAATGCCTGTTTAAATGGTAGGTGTTTCTAGAATAATATATACAAGTAAGTGGTTGATAATGTAGAACTAAGCTACACAAACTAATGATACATTTTTAAAGATAATAATTGATGCAACAGTAAGGAAATTGCAAAAAAATTAAATAGCTACAGCTGGTTATGCTATCTTGACCTTCGATAGGTAAGAGGGCTCAATTACTTGCTAAACACATTGAGGAAAAGAATGCATTTTGTCATGCGCGTTCATGAACTAAGCTTTTGTTCAAACAAGTCACTGAGTTCCTTCATGTTGATAAAATAACTAATGAGATCTAGAGATGATTTATTGAATGCTAAATATGGTTGTTACATATAGGATTATATTTGCTGTACCACTAACAAAAAATAGGTTTTCTTTCTAATTGGAGGTGATTTAGCTAGATCTTATAGGGAAGCTAGAAAAATGATTCCAAAGTGCATTTATATGCCGAGACGGTTATTGTAATAGTCTAGGACCTAAGTTACTAGAAATTGGTGCAATGTTACCTTATCATTTATATGACTACTTAATTTGTTCTTGTTGAAGACAGTGGTGGATCCAGATAATTTTTCTTGGGGGACTGACAACAAGAATTTATTTATCTAACAATAAAATAATATTGTAAAGTAATCAATATCAAACTATTATTCCAATGGATCGATATTTTTTAGTTACATTTATTTACCGATTCTCACAAAGTTTTTACTTTCTACAATGTCTAATTTTTTTATGACTCAAATTCTCCAAAAAATATGCTAAAATTTTGAATTGTATCCCTCAATCATAGATGAAAGCATGTGAATATGGGAACTAGTAATTAAACAAAATCATTAACTCTTCAAAAACACAATTCAAAAGAAAAATTTAACTAACTTAATAATTGGTGAGAAGTTGAGAAGAGGCGGACCGGGCAAAGACTGAGCGTGGCGGGGGTTGGTGAGGATGGGGGTTTGGGTGGAGCTTTGGGAGTTTAGAGAATTTTGGTCTCTGTAGCATGAGT